TTATTTATTTGTGTGTGTGTGTGTGTGTGTGTGTGTGTGGCCAGCTCAGCCCACCAGGGGGCGGGGCTGGCTGGCATGTGGTGCTGGGGGATCGAACCGCAGTCCCTGTGCTTTGCCAAGCTTGTTCCAAGTAGGTGCTTTAGACCACTGAGCCATCTCGCCAGCCCCCGTAATCTATTCTTAACACACTGTAAATGTGAAGTTTTCAAAGTGCAAAAAAAATATATACCTCTCCCTGGAAAATAGTGTAGAGATCAGGCAAGTTTTCCATGGTCTCAGGCCTTCCTGAATTCATCCTTATGTTCTATGGCTCCTCCATTTCTCTTCTGCTAGAGCTAGTTCAGGTGTCCTGTCACAAAGAAGTAAGCAGCAATTAGTGACATCTGAATTAAAGAAGAAACAAATGTGCAAAAGAGTCCATAGACGTTCTCTACAACATAATTGAATTGGACTGAACAACAACACAATACTTTTCTCCTAATCTCTGGTCATTCCACTTCTGGGAAGTTTTAGCAATCTTAATTTCATCTTTACTTAACCAAGGCCATCAGACTACTGGTATTGTTGGTTGGTTTTTGTTTTTTTAAGACAGTCTCATTATGTAAGTCAGGCTGGCCTTGAACTCATGGCAATCCTGCTGTTTCAGACTTCCAAGTGCTGGGATTACAAACATGTGATACCATGCTCAGCTTGTATTGTTTTTTGAGATAAGAATCTTATCAAAAAATGTCCAGGCTAGACTCTTGAAGTCCCCCGTTTCAGCCTTCTGAGTAGCTTAGAGGTACCACCACACTTAGCCCATTTATTGCCATGCTGAGGAGAAAGGAAGTGCATTTGCCTTCAAAACAAAAGAATAACATAACATTATCTGAATGTGGTGATGAATGCCTATAGTCTCCTACTTGGGAGGCTGAGGCGGGAAGACTGACGTAAATTCAAGGCCACCATGGGCCACACAGTGAGTGAAGGCCAGCCTGAACTACATAATGAGATATTATCTCAAATATTAATAGCTTTTTCTCCCTGGCTGTCTGAGGATCCATTGCCACCATGAATGACAGAGTAAGTAGCCAAACCCTGAAGTTCATGACCAACTGACTTCTTCAAAGGAAAGAAATGGTCATTGATGTCCTTCACCCTTGGGAAAGCAACAGTACCTAAGACAGAAATTTGGAAAAAATTCGCCAAAATGTACAAGATCACACCAGGTGTCATTTTTGTGTTTGGACTCAGGACCCATTTTGGTGGCAGCAAGACGACTGGCTTTGATATGATTTACGATTCCCTGGATTATGGGAAGAAAAATGAGCCCAAACATAGACTTGCAGGATATGGCCTGTATGAGAAGAAAAAGACCTCAAGAAAGCAGCAGAAGGAACATAAGAACAGAATGAAGAAAGTCAGGGGCACCACAAAGGCTTAATGCTGGTGTTAGCAAAAAGCCGAAGGAGTAGAGATTCTGCAGTGCCTGTCTGCAGTGCCTGCAACTTTTTTCACGAGAGGATTTAATAAACTGTAAAATCTTCCAAAAAAATTAATAATAAATTTTGCAGAGTAACATTATCAAGCACTTATTATGTCCAGGAACTGTGCTAAGCAGTGGACAGACATGCAATATATCATTTATTCCTCAAACCTCTCAATATATAGGTTATATTATTATTCTTATGTTATACTAATGAGAAAGCCAAAGTTTCTAGAGCTCAAACAAAAAGCAAGCAATGTAGAGTCAAACTTTAGCATGCCCCAGAATCCATTGTCTTAGCTACTACGCTAGGCATTAAATCTGAAACGACTTTTAAAAGAGAGAAGGGCTTTTCTTGTTTTCTGATAAAATGAAAATATCTGCAACCAGGTGTGGTGGCACATGCCTGTAATCCCAGCACTTGGGAGACTGTGCCAGGAGGATCACCATGAGTTCAAGGCCAGCCTAAACTTTGGAAAGAAACAATCTAAAAAAAAAAAAAAAAAATTTCTCATTTTAAAAGTTAG